CCAGGAGTTTGAGGCTGCAATGAATAACGATCATGTCACTGCACTCTATCTGGAGCAACAGAGTGAGATCCTGTCTCAAAAAACAAAACAAAATGAAACAAAACAAACAAACAAAAAATCACTGTCTCTTCTCTTTGTAGAAAAATTCAGATTTCATTTAGGGTAGCAATGTACCTGGATAAAAGGCCACGTTTTCCATCTTCCCTTGCAGTGAGTTGTGAGCATCTGACTAAGGTCTGGTCAATGAAGTAAGAAGTAAAAATATTGTGTGATATGCACAGGAATGCTGAGAAAAGAAGCTGACTTGACTATTGGGGGGCCCTTTTATCTTCTCATCTTCTCCCTTCTTTCTTTCCAGAAGGAGCTCTAGGAGCCATCTTGTACCACCAGTGACATTGAGTAGGAAAGTCAATGCTTCCTGGGGTCTGGAATCATGGACTTCTTTTATGAGGGAGAGAGAAGAGAGAAGAGAGAGAGAGAGAGAAAAACTCCTCATGGTTTAAACCACTGTTATTCTGGATTTTCTGTCATAATGCATCTGAACCTAACTTACTCACAACCTGAAACATATCCATAGATTCAGTGGAACCCGTATTTGACTTTATAGACAGTTACTTCATGACTCATCAGGGAAAGACAATATTGTATGTAGCGGAACCTACATAAAAGGAAGCTTTGCTCTGAGTTAACCTCTATTTTATCTAGACTGAAACTTGACCAGCTTGCATTGATTCAAATCCTTAACTAATCCAAGCACTGAGCAAAGCCTAAAAATACCATTTTGGGTGTCAATGTCTACCTGACATGCATGCTTGAATGTCTCCCTGGCATCTTGAACTTCATTAGTCTGACATTGAAACTGACCCTACCCACCCCAGTCACCGCCAACCCCGCCACGTTGTCTCCTTTCAGTAAATGACACATCGATCCACCTAACTTACCATGCCACAAGCCTGAGGGCCATCTCTGACACCTTCTTCCTCATTTCCAATATCCAGGCCATTGTGAAGTCCCAGAATCTCCCTCTGAAATACATTTCACTTCTATTTCTCTCTGTCTCCAGTGTCACTTTGGAGGGTGAAGCTATACTATTTCTTGCCCAGACAACTCCAACAGCCTTCTGTCTAGATTCTCATTCTCTACACAGCAGCTATGGAGAAAACACAAACCAGATCATATTACCACCATGCACAAAACACTTCAAAGACTTCCAGTAGTGTTGGGATACAATTCCGAATTTTATGGCTTATGAGGCTCTGCATGATGTGGCCTCCGTCTACCTTCCACCACCTAGCATTGTCATATACCAGTTTTTCTCACTGTGCTTTAGCCACGTGACCTGCAAGTCTTCTGAATGTGCCATCCCATCTTGCACAGGCTGGTTCCTTGCCTGGATTACTCTACTCCCACCCTCTACCGGGTGGTTAACTCCTACTGATTCTTCTGGTCACTGATTAAATAACACTTCCTCAATGAGGCCTTCCCATTCCCAATCTATATCAGGTCCTCCAATTATAACCTCTCAGACACCCTGTAACTGGCAAGTTATGTGAGTTATGTGCAACTTAATTTTAAATTAGATATATGTTTGTGTGATTTTTTTTTTTTTTGGTATAATGTCAGTCTCCCTCCAGAGACCAAAAACACAGTGAGGACAGCCACCATCTGTTTTGTGTGCTGCTGCATCACTAACACCTAGCATGGTGCCTAACACATAGAGATGGTTAACAAATATTCGTGGGAAGACTGAATTAATTAATGACCTCAAGATGAAACCTGGAATCTCAGTAGCATCTGCTTTTGTGACTACTTACCTTTAATTCTGTCTCACATGGTTTAATGCTATGATTTAAGGGCTGCCCTGCCCCCTAAATCTTTCCCATATTGATAGAATGTCTTCTCATTCCTCTCTTTAGCCCATCCTTCCCGCCTTCCTCCTCCTTCTCTTGATCCTCATCATTATCATAACTCTTAGCAGGCACTTGACAAACACAATTTCATTAAATCTTCTCCAGCAACCCGCAGCTGGTACGTCATCATCTCCATCTCATAGATGGTAACTCTGAGGTTTAGAGAAAATCTACCTTTGCCAAGGTCACACAACTATTGAGTAGTAAAGCTGGACCTGGAACTCCTAAATATCTATCTTCGTACTGTATAGAGGTTTCTCTTTGCTTGGTCATACTTCTCATTCATCCCACATTTCCTGATCACTTGTACCAGGTACTGTCCAAGGGATAGTTGGATAAAACAAAACTAATTCAGCCCCTCCACTCCTGGCAATTACAGTAGACCTTTCTGTATTGCATTAAGATTCTTGTCTACTTGCTTTTTAACACTGTGTGTATGTGTGTTTGTGCGTGTGTGAAGTGACAAGTTATTTTTTTTTTTATGATGTGAAATTGTTTTAAACAACTTGTTTTGCTCCAATTAGCTGAAGAACTGGCCACATCGAATGAATGAGAAGTGGGAAAGGGTAAGGAAGGAGAGGTAGTTCTAGAATAGCTCATCTTTTAAAAAGTTTTAAGAAAACTTTATTGGGATATATTTCACATGCCAAAAAATCCACCCATTTAAACTGTACAATTCAATGATTTTTATTATATTCATAGAGTTGTGCAACCCTTACCGAAATCTAAGTTTAAAATATTTTCATCACCCAAAAAGAAACCCCTTACTGGCCGGGGGCGGTGGCTCAGGCCTGTAATCCTAGCACGCTGGGAGGCCGAGGCGGGTGGATCGTTTGAGCTCAGGAGTTCGAGACCAGCCTGAGCAAGAGCGAGACCCCGTCTCTACCAAAAATAGAAAGAAATTAATTGGACAGCTAAAAATATATAGAAAAAATTAGCCGGGCATGGTGGCGCATGCCTGTAGTCCCAGCTACCTGGGAGGCTGAGGCAGGAGGATCACTTGAGCCCAGAAATGTGAGGTTGCTGTGGGCTATGATGACGCCACGACACTCACTCTAGCCCGGGCAACAGAGTGAGACTCTGTCTCAAAAAAAAAAAAAAAAAAAAAAAAAAAAGAAAAAGAAACCCCTTACTGCCTTACTGTCTACACCTTTTATTCTACCCGCTCCTTGCCTCTGGCAACCACTAATCTTTCCATCTCTATAGATTTCCCTATTTTGGACATTTCACATGAATGAGGAGTGTAATATGTGGCCTTTTGTGGCTGTCTTCTTTCACTTAGCATAATCTTTTCACACTTTGTCGTGTTGTTGCATGTGTCAGTACTTCCTTTTCATTACAGATTAATATACCGTTGTATGGATACACACATTTTGTTTATCCATTCAACAACTAATGGACATTTTGGTTGATTACACTTTTTGGATGTTATGAGTCATGCTGCTATGAACATCTGTGTACTTGTATTTGTGTAGACATGTATTTTCATTTCTCTGGGGTCTATACCTAAGAGTAGAATTGCTGGGTCATCTGGTACCTCTATATGTTAACACTTTGAGGAAGTGTCAGCAGCCCCTTTTTATGAGGAAAGACTTAGGGTTTTGTCCAGAGGATTCAGTGCTGGTCAGTGTCAGCTGTTTTGCAAGGCCCTGTGTGTTTACACCCCTTCTAAGGTTGAGTGTCTTTCTTCCCCTTTATTTGCCTCTTTTATTCTCTTTTCAGTAGACTCCAGTCCCCTGCTGATTTTCGCAGGAACTGAAGCTTTCAACTCCTAAAAGTTATTTGTAAAACATTTTGAACTCTCTGGAGGATGGACATTAAAGTAATAATGTTTATCTGTGGGTTCAGCAGTCAGGCTGCTGTTTTGTAACAAAAGAGCTTATTGAGTAGGAGGCTTATTTAACTTGTTCCTGAGGGTTACACTCCTACAGCGCACTGCCCAAACAGATTCTTAATTACCATGCTCAGTCTGAAGGTTTTAAAGAGTTCCTTTGAAGTTTCTTGGTAACATTATCATCATTAGTAGGCTTATATGTGGAAACATATATTGTGTTTGTAGATGTATGTGGAGTCCTAGTGTATTCCTGGAACATATTAATAATTGTTTAATAAATTGTTAGTTGGTGTTATGAAGCATCATTCTAATGAACCATTAGTGGTTTCTTTTAGGTATACATTTCAATAATTTAAAATGTCAGCTTCTTAGGGGACACATTTGAGTTCTGTTTCATGACACACGAAATAGAAAACTTTCAGGTATAGTGACATAAATCCTCATTTGATCTCTCCCACCCGGTGTAAACCACACATACTTTGTTTTCCGTGGTTATTTTTAAAGCAATAAAGATCATCTCTACTAATTCAAGCACATTTAATCCGCTGAACACAACAGAAACAACTTTTCTGCGGTTTAACCACACTCTGCCTTCCCCTAACTCATTCAGTGTGGATATGCAGACAGGCGACACAGGAGCTGCTGGGCCACCAAGAAAACGCTCTTGCCGTTGTAAAGCTTTCCATCTCAGGAGGAGATTTACACGCATCTTACTTCTTTAAGTGGGCGAACAGGAATAAGGAAAAAGAGAGCCAGGAGCACGAGTCAGTTCACAGCTCCGGTCCGTCCCAGGAAAACTGAGATCAACGAGTCAATCGTTTCCTCCGGCACTGCAGACCGCCTAGAGTTATGCCGTGCGGCTGCGGGCACTAGGAACTGCTATCCCGACTCTCCTTCCCGGTCCCCGTGCGGTTCCTTGCATCGGGGCGCCACTGCGCGTCACCCCGGGACGGCGAGCCGAGGAAGGCGGAGGGCGCAGGGGAGCGGCGGCGCGGAATTCCACGCCGAGGGAGCCTCGGAAGGAAGAGGAGGGGCCGCTGCGCGTGGGGAAGAGAAGGAAGACGCGTCCGGGGCAGGGAGGGGAGGAGAAGGGAGGAAGGAGGAAGGCGGAGGAAAAAGAAGGGGCGAGCGGGGGAGCGCGGGGCGGGCCCGGGAGGCGGCCGGGGCGGGGCGCGGAGCTTCGGCGGGGGCTGCCGGGATTGGGCGCCGCGGCTCTCGCTCGCCCGGGCAGCTGCTCCTCGGTGCGGCCAGGCTCCGCGGGGCATGTCCGCGCCGCGCTCGCCGCGCGCCCCGCACTGCTAGCTCCTCCCGGGCTTCCTGCCCGCGCGGCACCTGGCTGCGGCCTCGGAGCCCCGCTCGGGCGGCAGCGCGCGGCCGTGAGCGCCGCGCCGGGACCGCTGCCGTCATGGGGCTGCAGCCGCTGGAGTTCAGCGACTGCTACCTCGACAGCCCTTGGTTCCGGGAGAGGATCCGCGCCCACGAAGCGGAACTCGAGAGGACCAACAAGTTCATCAAAGAGCTCATCAAGGACGGGAAGAACCTCATCGCTGCGACCAAAAGTAAGCGGGACCCGGGCGCGGACGGGCTGCAGCGTGGCGAGGCCGGGGGGAGCCTCTCCCGGCGGGTGACGGATGGTCTCGCGCTGGAGGGACGGGAGCTTCCTTCTGGACCAGCCCGCGTCGCTTGGAAGCCGGGAGGCCCCGGGCTCATTCCTCCCCCAGGCAGCCGGGGCGAGTCCCCGATCCTGCCCGTGCCGCCTGGCGGCGTTGGGAGTGAGGAGCGCGCGCGGGAGCCCCGCCGGGCCCGGCCGAGCACCCCTCAATGCCTGCCTTCTCCGCGGGACCAACCCTCGGCTCTCCCCGCCCGGGCTCGGGTTTTATTGCTGCCTAAACCTACTCACAGCCTCCTCAAAACTGAGAAATCAGTTTGACTAGCTGTGTCTGGTGACCTCTCGAAAGAGTTTTCCTGGGGATTCCTTGAAATCCTGCTGGGTGTTGAATTTTTCAGCAGTCCCTTAAGCTGCACCTTTTCCCTCTCATTTTCTTATCTTCTGCAGCTGTCTTGTCCCAGGTCCTTCACTGTGCCAAACCAGAAAGTCCACCTGGCTTTGTGCTGCTTTCTGCACATTCCTTCTCTCCTGTGCTGAGGAGGGTTCAAAGATTGGGGTTTGAAAGGGTGAGCGGACAGCCTGCCCTCTGGCCCGGGCGGGCACTGTCTGCAAATAGGGAGTTCCACCCTGGTCAAACTTGATGCCTTTCTCCCCTGATCCTCTCCGTGTTTTGAAAACCCTGGAAGAAAACAGGAGATACTGGAGAGATAAGTGTACTTAGTGTGGCTGAGAAGAGTCTTTGTAGGAGAGAGTGGGCTGAAATTCATGCAGAAACATCGAGTTAATGATGCTGCTGGAAATGGGGCGGAGTTAGCTCAGGCGAGGAGCTGGGCAGCCTAACCACCCCTGCCTGGGCCCTTTAGCCCCTTCTGAGGATGGCTGCGAGGGCCTTCTTTCCCTCTTAAAAAGACCCGCCCATACAGCTCACAGGGACGTGGGCGGTATCCAGCTGTGTGGGTCTGTGTTCTTAGGACCTTTATACCGTATCTAGTTTCTTAATTCCCTATTTCCCAGCCTTAGGAATTTGTCCCATGTACACTTGTTTGTACATACCACCTCTGGGACAAATCCCTGATCTCACACCCCCCTCCGCTATTTCGCATTAAGGAAGATTAAAACATACTGAACATACTGTTTCAGGCACCCCGCATGGTGTCTGGCACAGTAAATATTCCTTTAATGAATGAGTTGAAGTACATTTCAATGGGAAGAATTTAGTGAGCCATCCCTGTAATTTTGGAAGCAACTCAGTCAACTTCCCTGGGTGATCTCCAAGGTTCCATTTGGTTCTGTGACCTCTTTGATCTTGCAAAATCAAGAATGGGACTCACTTTGTTTGGGACATGTGATGAGTGGGCTTATTTGGTTGATGGCTCTCCAGTCCCTTGGCATGGGGCATATAGGTTAGGTGGCAAGTAGGGAGAGCTGTAAATATGTAGGGGGTGAGCGTAGAAGGAGGTGAGGGGTGCGGAGTAAACAGGAGAGAGAAGACTTTTCTGTAGCTGCATGTTAACCAGAGTTACTGGCTGGGAGAGTGTACCTTCTCTCTCACTGGCTGTAGTAGCAGCTCCCTCTGGAGCGAGGGAGATATGGAGAGAGGCAGAGGGCAAAGCTAGCTTGGCCACTGGTAGAAAGCTATTTCTGTGACAGCATATTAGCTTTCCTGCCAGCAGGACGCATGCCTCATATTCCAGCAGCAGCTAGTGCATCCGGGGGGCCAGCTGCCAGCCTTCTTCCTCAGACTGTAGACTTTCTTGAATTTGTGAACCGGTATTTTACTCCTTTTGATTCTTGTCCTTCTGCATAAGAAACATAATTTATAATCATGCTTAAGGGAGCAACCGAAAAGTATCTTTTTTCCTCCTTATGTCCTCTAAATTCTTTCCCAGAGATGACAGAAACACAGCTTTAGCTCATATGCTTTTGGCCAATGAGGAAGACTCTAGCTTTTCTCCACTTGCTCCATAAAGTTTACTTCTAATTCCTATCAAAGAGCCCTGGACTTAAGTCAAGGGACCTGAGTTTAAATTTTCTTCGCTGTTATGGCCTGGCTATATGACAATTGAACAGGTCTTGTAATTCTTTTGTGTTCGGTTTCCCCTGCCCTACTTCTTCAAGGAATTAGTAAGGTTTTGCAGCGTTGGAAAATGGCTTGATGAAGTCATTTGAGACTGTAAGTCTAGGTCAATTGTTGACCTAACCAGTTGAGCCTTTCTATAACATGGGAGTCAAAAGAGTTAAGGAAGGACATTAGGTGGAGGATCTACAGAAAGAAAGTCAACTAGGTCAGATTGTTTGTATTTCCAGATGTTTTACACTTTGTTTTGCCAAAAGGGCCTCTGTGCATTTTCAGAATTATGTGCTTAGGTGATTTCTGTTTTTAATTGCCCTGTAAGATGTCTCCTGCATGCACTAAATACTTGTTGGACTTATGTAATTTTGATATCTTGATGCTTTGAAATCTTCCATAAATATTTAAAAAGGCTGAAAGCCTATAGGACCTGAAGGCTTACTGCTGAGTTCAATTATATAGCAATCAGCAAATGTTTAGCACGTACAATTTGTTAAATATTGGAATTAGACACAAAGAAGAAAGAAGGTAGAGTCCCTTGCTCTTGAGTTTATTGTTCTGTAGTTGAGGAACGTTTTTGAACTCCTGTCTGCACTGTGCTAAATTCTCAAAGAAACAAAGGATACACAGACATACATGTTAAAAGGTTAAAAATTCAGTGACAAGTAAATATCCTAATTTTTCCAGAAACAAGAGTTTGTATGGTAGAGCAGAGAAAGTTTGCTGGAAGTTTTGGGACTCACCGGTGTTTTAAGTAAGGAATCGAACCTTGTCAGATTGGAACAGCTGAAAAGAAACCAGAACACCTGCAGTGTTTGGGCAGAGTGAAGAGACCAGTTTGGCTGGAATGGAGATCTCCTTTCAGGGAGTAGACTGGGATGAATGGAAAGATCAGTTTCAGATTATGGAGGGCCATAAAACAAGGTTAGGAATGTGGACTTTATCCTGAGGAGAATTACTGAAGGTTTTTCAGCAGAAGCCTGACATAATGGGAAAGAGATAGGTGAGGGACGGTATTGCACATTTTTGTGTAGGGTGAGTTTGGAGATAGCAGCGGGGGTGGGGAGGAGCTGAGAGAGAAGAGTCGTTGACTATGTGGTGGATTTGGAGATCATTCACTCAATTCAATGGGTTCTTTGTTCCAATGGCTTTTGTAGTTCTTTCTCTTTTCACTCCTTTCCTTTCCTAGAATAACTAGTGCCCCCTTTCAATGCAACTTAAACATTTGTAAGCCTTTTATATGGTGTCTGTGTAGCTTCAGGTGCTTATGATTCATACAAATACATAGCATATTTGCCAGAAACAGCAATAAGCCATTTACGCTTTTCTCAAATTTTACATTAAGAAAATATATCCAGTTCTATAGTGACATGTTTTTTTTTTTTCAGAGACAAGTTTTCACTCTGTCACCAAGGCTAGAATGTCGTGACACGGTCATAGCACACTGCAACCTCAAACTCCTGGGCTCAAACAATCCTCCTGAGTAGCTGGGACTACAGGTGTGCCTCACCACCCTCGGCTAATTTTTAAATTTTTTCGTAGAGATGGGGTCTTGCTATGTTGCCTAGGCTGGTCTTGAACTCCTGGCCTCAAGCGTTCCTCCTCCCTTGGTTTCCCAAAGTGCTGGGATTACAGATGTGAGCCACTGCACCCAGCTGGGAAGTATTTTTTAAACTAATAGTCATCAGTTATTAAGCACTTATGTGGTTATATAAAATGCTTTTTAGTAAATTAGATTGTCTAGCATTGTGTGTGTGTGTGGGGGGGGAGGGGTCGGTGGTGGCTGGGAGGGTGAGTGAAGCTGGAGGGGCCCTCATAAGTGAGCCAGCTCTTCTTATTACAAACGTGGAAAAGGATGTAAGCGACCTTGTTAGTGGCAGAGCCCGGACTCCAATTTGGGTTTTCCAAGACTTGGTTTTGGTACTTCTTTCAGGCCTTGGTATTTTAATGACTTTTGCTTTGTTTCTCTCAGAAAAATGTAAAAGTTCCCTTTTGTGGTCTTTATCTTTACTGTTTCAGAAAAATGTTCTTTTGGGGAAATTTCTTAAGTTGGCGTTACATTGAATGTACTGAGATTTGGAAGACTTAAAAGAATTTCACTTCTTTGTAAACTTGAGCCTCAGTTTCCCTTTTTGTAAAGTGAGACTGATGCAGAAAGCCTGGAGGATTAAATAAAATGCCGTGAAAGTGTTTTGAAACGCAAATATAAAATGGTTGTGTATACACTTGGATTGATTCAGCCAACATTCCTTTTTTATTTCTGACAATCCAGATTTTGTTCAGGTGTCTGTATCTTTTTCCAAATGACTCAGGGGAAGGCAATTAGGGGTAATTCTGATGAGTTTAACTCAGTATTCTCAGTCCTAGCTACCCAATAAAATTACCTGGGACAACTGTATAAAAGATGTACGGTCAGGATTGAGAATTGCTAAACTCCAACTCAGTCATGGTAAACCCATTTTCTGGGCTAGTAATTGTTTTAAGGATGAGGATGTAACCCCCCAGTTCTGGCCAGTGAGACAGGACAGGGAGTCTGCTGGAGACTTTGGGAAAAGGTTTCCTTTTGTCATAGAAGACTCAAAAAAAGATGGTTCTCTACTCTTCTTCTGTGTTGCCTGGTTGTGATGCTGGGAACTGCTGCCTGCCATCTTGGACCCATGAGCGGAGCCAGCCTGAGGGGAAGCAGAGTAGAGAGCTGAGTCTGGGTTTTTCATGCTATTGGGGGAGCCATGGATTGACTGTGCTGGAAGCCCGCGTCTGGACATCTTGTTAAATGACAGCAGCCAGTTTGAGTTTGGTTTTCTGCCAGACAACACCCTAATTTTGATGGAGTGGTATAATTGTAAATTTTGTGCTGATGCTCCCATTAAGTGGAATTT